CAACTTGACACAACACAAACATAACCCCCTACCCTGCCATAGGTAAGGCAGAGGAACCAGAGCAGCCAATGTTTTGCTTCTCTGCAATGTTGTCAGTATGTACTCGAGACAACTCAGGGAGAGGGCCACAACCCCTCCCCACCTCTCCACCCCTACTATAGACAAAGGCAAAACACCCCACAGTTCATACCAATATGCCCATGGAGTAAAATTACATCCTGATCCCAAATATGGCAACTAGTCTGACCTTAAGTGGAAGGGCAAGACCCTCTAGCCAGGAACCTCCAGCTTGGTTCTCAGCAGTAGCATTGGCATACCCCATGGCCAGATGGTGGCTCCTGTGCCAGGCCTGGGCTCTGGATTGGAGACCACCATCTGGCTCACAGGTGGACCAGACACTGCCTATGTGGCCCACCAAGGAACATGGTTGAGCACCCCTGGGCTAAACAGTCTGTAGTTTCCCAGGTCCTCCTTGCCTTTTTTAAAGAGGGTCACTACATTTGGCCCTTTTCCAGTTCTCTGCTACCTCCCACAATTTCATGAAGATCACTGCCAAAGGCTCTGAGATCTCCTCTGCCAGTTCCTTTAGGATCCTGGGATGAAGCTCGTCTGGGCTTGCTGACCTAAATTCATTCAGACCAAACAAAAGCTCTCTGATCATCTCTTTTTGTTATTTCCTCCATCAGCTTGCCCCCTTCATTATCCAGATAATCCCTATTAGGTGTCTGGAAGCTTAATTATTTTGTGAAGACTGAGGTAAAGTAGATGTTGAGTAGCTCTGCCTTCTTAGTATCTTTGGTTAGGAGCTCCTCCTGGCTTGTTAACAGAGGACCCACAGCTTTCTTAGTCCTTTTCTGGCCAACATACTTATAGAACTTCTTCTGGTTTTCCTTAACATCCTTTGCCAGGTACAGCTTGTTTTTTATGTTTTCCTTCCTGATTTTGTCTCTGAAGGTTCTTGCTATTTCCTGGTATGCTTCTTGGTGACCTGCCCAATTCTTTCTTAGCCTGTATGCTTTTCTTTTGCATTTGAGGCATTTTAGAATCTCCTTGTGCAGCCACATTGGTCTCTTGCCATTCTTGTGCTTCCATTTGTGTTGAGACAGTTTCTTGTTGGGCTTCCAATACTGTGCCCCTCAGAAGTTCTCAGCCCACTGGGTACCTTTATCCTTCAATCTATCCTCCCATGACATCATACCTATTAAGAACTTGACACCAATGAAATCCATCTTTTTTAAATCTAGCATCTTAATTTAGCTGACCTTAAGCTTTTCCTGTCTTAGGATCTGGAATTCTATTGTATCATGACCTCTTCCTCCCAAATTTCCCCATTACCTTCTCATCCTCCACCAATTCTTCCCTGTTGGTCAGGACAGAATCCAAGATAGATGACCCCCTAGCTGTATCCTCCACTTTCTGGAGCAGAAAGTTATCCTCCACACAAGTTAGGAACTGGTTTGACATTTTATTTTTGGCTTCATTGTTCTTTCAGCTGTTGTCTGGAAAACTGAAATCACCCACCGGTACCATACTATCAGCTTTTGGATAGATTTGTCACATGCTATATCTCTACCTCCTCTTCCTGATTTGGCAGCCTATACTAAATCCACACCATTATATTGGTGGGAATTCTGCTTTGCCATCTTCTTCCTCCTGAACCAGGGAACGAGTGTATGTGAGAGCATACACAAATGTATGTTAGAGTCCTTGTGGTTTTATGGAGTGCAGAATACTAAATGCTGGTTGGTTCATAGAATTCCTCTTTCACCAACCCCCTGCCCCCCTCTTTTCCATACATATTGTCAACTTTTAATGCTTTAAACTTATTTCTCCATAAAAATTCCAGGTGTAATTTCACTGTGCTATGTGCTCTTCATTTAGTATGTGTTTTGCTAGAGTTATGCCTGTTGGTGTAATTTGTTTCCTTCCTTGCCTTTATGATTGGCTGGTTTTTGTTGTAATTTATTTCCAAAAAACAGAACCTTCAAAAGTGACCAGTAACTTTGGCTGTACAACATCAGCCTCTTTGAGATGTATTGATTTATTTTTAGAGGAGGATTGCCGAGAACTTCCTGAAGTTCCAACCCTATAAAATGTCTTAAGTTTGAAACCCCAAACAGAAGTACCAAGCTCCTCCAGGGGTGGATCCAGAAGGAATGCACTCCATCCTTCGCCAGATCTTGAATCCACCCCTGGGCTACTCTGTTCTGCTCTGAATCTCCCAGTGGTTCCTAGGCCACCACTGTACACTAGAGAGAGAGTGATTTCAATTCAGCCCTTCTTCCATTGAAACCCCAAATCACTGGTCATTTTGGAAAACTTAGGCTCCAGTATTTTTTCCTCCCAATTTCAATAAAATGACTCAATTTCCCTCCTTTCCTGCAGTCCCTCCAGAAGTGACTTTAACTTATGAGAGCAGTGGGATTGCTCTATGTCAGGCATCTGCAGGGAAGCCAGCTGCACACATTTCATGGGTCCCTAAGAATGGTCACAGTGTTGAGAATAAAGTTCATCACCTCAATGGAACAGTGACCACAGTCAGCAGAATGTACTGGATCAACAGCGCTGCCATTAACAAGAGTTGCTTAATTACCCACCCAACCAAAAATTGGACTCTGTCCATTGATCTGTCACCAAGTGAGTACCAGTTTTTAAATCTTTGTATCAGGCTGGTCCAGATAACTCTCTACCTATCAATTCAAACGTGTGCCAAGCAAATGATTAGGTGGTACCAAGCAACATTTCCATGCAGCAGAGAAGGTTTATGGGGCAAAGCACTATCTAAGGAGCTATATTTGAATGATAGATAGATAACTTTTTTATTTTCTGTCCTTTATATAGAATGACCTGGCAAGCAGGGTGTGTATGTGGGAGAAACAGATTTCCTTTGTTTGATAGAATCTAGTCTGTTCAACTAGACTTCATAACACTTAAGAATAGAGGCGGAACATCCTCCTCCTTGACTTGGGTTGTTATCTTCACCAGTTGTATAAGCTCCAAGTTTTCTCCAAGTTCTGTATCCCTGTTTCTTTATTTCTGCAGCATTCCCCATATTCCAGTGTGTCTTGATAGTTGCCTTTTCCTGTGTTGCTGTTGGTGTTCTTGGTGGTGTGATTCTTTACCGGGCTTTAAAATACCAAGGTAAGTCACTTGGATTTTAGTCACTGCTTATTTCAAGATGGAAATGGTTCCATCCCATCCCTGACTAAAGATGGACACATAGAAATTTATCCCACCACTCACAAAACTGGTTGGATTGGGGTTGAGGGAGAAACCAGGGTCCCAATTATTGTGCAAACCCTATGTTCTAAGCTTACAGAAAACTCTTGAGGAAATGGAGAATCTGCTTTCCATGACATTTTTAAACCAGACCAAAAATTCTATAATACGGGCCTCATTCTGTATCATTATATACTCCATATGTGGTCAAAAATCACGGTAACAGAAATTCTTTCATACATCACATATGCTTTTTAGAATAATTTAATGGAACCCTATTGGATATATCTCAGTGGTGTAATGGGATTTTCACATCCTGGACAGTGGTGGCACACAGGATAGCAGTGGTATGACCATCTATCATCTGCATCACCTATTTTTTCACCTACCCACTTCCCAGCCCCATAGAAGGTGCATGGAGACAGGAGTAGATCCAGTGGGGGTGTAATTGCACCCTCGCCTCCCCTGCTGCTTTGATTCCTGCTCTGCCCAAACTTTAAAACCAACTGCCTGGGAGGGGTAGCAACATTTCTAGTCAGGCAGTGCTAACAGAGTCAATTGACTTTATGGCTCATTCCCATTCCCTGATTCCTACTAATCTCTCTGCACTTCATAGGTGTTAATGACTTTCTTTTTTAATAGTCTTGATATTCCACTATTCCAACTATCCCTTTTTTTTGCAATTTTTATGTCTGTTAACCATTCCTGGTAATGTCTCTATTTTATTTCATAGCCCTGAAGACTGTTTTTAAAGTCTAGCTAAAATCCTTAACTCATGTGTGATAATAATTACTCAGGTGTATAAATGACTGATAGTGAAGTATTGGAAGCACTGTTAAGAGACTCAAGAAGGCTAAATTTTGTTTTATGAATCTGAGTAAGAGATGTATGACAAATACAACCAAGGAGGTGATACTTCCCTTCTATGTGGCATTGGTCAGACTGCAGTTGGAGTACTGCATCCAGCTTTGGGTGCCGTACATCAAGAAGGATGTTGATAGATGCAAGAGGGTCCAGAGGAAAGCCACTCATGTGGTCAGGGGCTTACAGGGCAAGTCCTATGAGGAGAGACTGAGGGACCCGGACCTCTTCAGCCTCCACAAGAGAAGGCTGAGAGGTGATCTTATGGCTGCCTACAAATTCATTAGGGGGACGCAGCAAGGGATCGAAGATGCTCTGTTCACCAGGGCGCCTCTTGGGGTAAAAAGGAAAGATGATCACAAACTGACAGACAGCAGATTTATGCTAGATCAGGAAAAACTTCTTCACAGTAAGGGTGGCCAAAATTTGGAATGGGCTTCCAAGGGAGGTGGTGCTCTCCCCTACTTTGGGGGGTCTTTAAGGCTGGATAGGCATCTGGCTGGGGTCATCTGACCCCAGCACTCTTTCCTGCCCAGGGCAGGGCGTCGGACTCAATGATCTGTTGAGGTCCCTTCCAACCCTAGCATCTATGAATCTATGTACATTTAACTATAATGACTATAGGACTTTTGACACAGTGGGCACATCTTCATGAGATGCTACATCGCTGTAGTGGCAAGCTATGGTGATGTAACATCAGTGGTCACTAACTGTGATGCCACCGCCACTGCACAGTAGCAACAAGCTACTGCAAAATAACTCCTTGTTACTGGGCAGCAGGGTCGGAAATGACCCATGTGCTGCCAAGACTGTGCAGCACTGGCAGGTACTGCACAGTCATTTAGTACTTGCTAATATTATTAAAGCATCTAGTTTTTCTTTAACTGGAAAAAAAAATGTGTTGTGTTATGTGATGATGTGCTACAAACTCTGTACCTCCCTTTTCAAAATCCGAGATCTGCCCATGCCTGGGGATGCTTCTCTGTTTAGCCCTTCCCCCTCTACACTGACACTTCTGCTTTTTCTATATTTATTCCACAAACTTTTATTGAAAATAGTGTCTGACTCTGGTGTATGAACACATTTCATTACGTGAGGCTTACTGATTTGCTGGGTAGCTGAATGTGCCTGTAGTCTGCCCACAACCATGTTGGAGGGAGAAAGCTTCTCAGTGCTGTAACTGACTGTCTGAATAGATAAAGTGCACCAACACAATCAGTGATATTCTCTGATATCTAGTAAATCTCAGGGTCACAGTCTGAGAGACTTTGAGGGGTTCTACTGTGTCCAGTATGTGCTGGTCACATTTCAGCTCCATTCAGCAGAGTAGGGCCAAACTGAGTATGTTTCATTACTTGTTTCCAGTTTTGATTATCTGTTGTTTGGCTTAGCACCTATTTCTCTTCTTTCTACCATCCCCATGTTATCCAGATTCCAATAATGATTTTCTCTAGCACTGGGAATTTGATGAGAACCTGCCATTTCTAGTTAAATTAGAAACTTTTACCCAGACACAAATATTTTGAAAGAAAAAACCCTTTTTGGGAGTCCAAGCTTAGTTTCAAATTATAATGACTGACTTCCATAGGTATTCTCACCTATGGGGATGTTCCAAGGAACAGTTCTTAGGCTTGTTTTCTGGCTTGATACAGCCATTATGAAGGGGTTTATTGATAATCATTATAGATTGCAGGGTTTATTGCTCATACATTTAAACAGTGCCATAGTCAAGATTCATTGCAGCACATAGTGGGAGGATTTTAGGCTGTGCACAGAAGTGCTCTGTTCATTTTTACCAAGCTGTAATTTAGGGAAATTTTTATAGCACTATAAATTACAATGCTCTTAAACATGACAGAAGGCAGTGTTTGGGGGTGGGGTGGAGAGCCTCTGAGCCTCTCTCTACTTTCCAGGCTAGGAGGCAGGGGGTACTCTGCAGTCTCCTGGGGTTTCTCCATTCATCAGAAATTTGACCAGTGTACAGAAGTTATTTAAAGTGTTGTAGGTTGCTAAAATGCTGTAAAACACAGTGCCTCAAATTTAATACCTCATAGCTAATTTAAAGTGCTGTATAGCTATGCACTTCTGTTAAGTCATGGCAACAAAGTGCTTTAAATAGCAAAAAAACCCCAAACCAACTTCTGTACACACCCTTAATGTTTAAGGTTACAGTACCCAGTCACTTGAACGTACAAATGTTTACACTTTCTATTGAAACTCATTCTAATTATTTTTAATGCCTCATGCAATGTCCACAGAAATCAGCAAGTTAGACAAACAGGTTCTTACTTAATAACTGATGTGACATAAAATCTGAATATTGCTAATAAAGCTCACTTCAGTCCTTGTGAGGTTTTCTGAGACAGGTAACCTTAATTCTATCATACCCTAAACCTACTGGAGCAGTTGAAAAATTAATTATGCAAAAAGGAATTCCAACAATGGCAAACCTGCTAGCAATAAAGCAGGTTAGACAATAATGATAAATCCAACTGAATTACTTCATCTGTGTTAAGGTGAGAATGCTTTAGCTAATAGGAAAGGTACAGTAAAAGACAAGTATAGGTGCAGCAGCTGTATGTGTCTTGTGAAAAAATTTTGTTCCTTTGGTCACCTATCTTCCAGCTTCCCGGTTATCAGGATCGGCACATGTTCCCCCAGTGGCAAATCAGGTATGTGGCAGTTATTCTTATATCATATGACACAACTAACTTCTTTTAACTAACAAAGGTTCACACAGCTCCCATGTGTATGTATGTGTTCCAAATATTTGTGAAAGTCTCTGTCACTGTGCTTGTTTTTCTGGTGTATATTGCAAGAACAGCGAGCAACCACTTAAGAGACAGCAGGACATGTAATGCAGCTTCTCCCGCTTAGTAACACTTTAAATTATAAATACAAATAATAAAGCATTTTTAAGATTGAGCTTTAGAGCTTTTGGAAATCAGTGTGTTCAGAATTCCAATTCCTTGGAAAATCTTCGCTTTGTCCTTGTGCATAGGAAGAGATGTTTTTATGACATGCGTGACTGAATTAAACTAAACCCATGCCACAAGTGACATGAGATAGCTCGATGCTTTTGTATTAAACATGCAGACCTGTGTTAAAAGAGCACAACTAAGGTGGTAAAGTCAGTACTCAAAAGTTAGGCAAGGTTGTCTGCAAGACTTATTTGGCCGCCTTGCGTGTGCACCTTGGCTAGAGACAGACATTCAACAAGCCTGAGCTTAAATTGATTCAATCTTTGCAGGTTAGTCTAACCTGGCTAGACAAAAGTTGTTTGTAACCATACAGACATCCCCTCTGGACTGAGGAAATGCAGGTACATGCCTGCAGCGGTTCAGGCTAGAAGCTGGGGTGCACTGCAGCAGCCCTCCCTTCCTTTCCATCGTGTTGAGGGGGTGTGTGGCCAGGTCCCGACAGGATGCTCTGACTAGGGAGGCATCCCCTTCCCCCTGCTTCCCCTCCCCCTTCTCCCGTCAACCAGCAAGAGACCCTGAAGGCAGTTGATAACAGAACATTGAGGTACACGGCAGGGAGTTACACAGAGAGTTGTTAGCGTTTATCAGCCCATCAAACAAAACAAAAGCCTCTCTCATTAGTTAAAGCTGTTTTTCAACAACTTTTTCCAAGGAAGGAACAAAGGGACATTACCAGCTACCTCTTGATTAGCTTCGAAAAGGCCTAAGCTGACACTGTCCTGTCTCCCCCAGCACGGACCATAGCCAGTATATGGTATTCTAGCAAATGCTGAGAGGTGTCTGTGTAAGGCAGAGGGGAGGGGGGGATCCCTCCTTGAGCAGGGAGTGGTGGTAAGAGTGGGGAGCAGGAGGAAGCCAGGCAGACCCCGCTGTACTTGCAGTCTCTGCTGGAGCTGCAGCCAGGGACCCGAGGGGAAGGGCCTGCCCCGCTGGGGAGAAGAGAACAGAGCCCTGTCCAGGGCTGCAAAGCATCTGGGATGCTGGCAGACTCTGGTTTATGTTAAACCAGGAAGGGGTCTGGGACAGACATTGCATAAACCGATTTGACCCAAATCAGTTAAGTCTGATACTACATTTAACCAGGTTTATCTCAAACTGGTTTCAGCCATTTTCAGACTGGTTTATGTGCACTGACTGTCTATTCTGTTACAGGTTTAAACCAGTTTCTGATCACTTAAACTGGTTTATTTGTAATGTCTGCCCCTAGCCCTTGTGAAACACTCTTTTATTATACAATCTCATACTAGTTTTCCTCCAGGAAATCTGCTTCATATAGTGCACAAGAATGAATAACAGAATGAACAACTACTCAGTATTTGTTTTATCCTCATTATTTACTTTGTACCTCTGTGCCTTATTTATTTCATGCTGTCCAAACTGGGCTTAGAACAGTAATTTATTTTTTTTTCTCATGGGCTTTTCTGCAGCACTTGCCTCTTTAATACAAATGCTTCACAGCATCTTCATAACCTCTCTCTGTAAGGACGGGAGGTATATTTGCTCCCATTTTGCAGCTAGGGAGCTGACGCATGACAAAATAGTCTCAGATGTTTCCAACAATTTCTGTGAGCCCAGTCTGGTTTGCCCAGGATCTGACTTTTCAGAGAACTTGTCATTCAAACACCCAGTTGAAACACAGAATCTCTGTTTTGCAAGAAATGTTCATACTTCAGAATTTGTTTCATTCCAATTCAGAAAGAAAACTATATATTTACATTTTTTCAACAGATTGGAAACCGAACATTTTGATAACAGAAAGCTGTGCACCAGGGCAACTTACGCAGAATGATTCTATTGTCTTGTTAATTTTGTTTGTTATAACATTAGCTCCCACAATTTATAAACAGCGTTTCATTTTTAATTTTGTTTTGATTCGAAACAGCTGTTGTGTTCTGTTCTGTTGAAACAGGGTTGAAACGGCAAAACTGTTTTGACGTTTCGCCCATAGGACATAATGGAAAGGACAAAACAGCCTATAACTTTGTCATTTCTGGCTTCAGGCATGCTAGCCCCTGTGGAGGCCACAAACCCTGGCAAGTTTCAAGGAGATAGGTGCAGGTGTTTGAGGGAAACTGTACATCAAGCTGCGGACAAGCAAAACTCGTGACATGGGTGACACTGTGTGCGTTAAGGCGCAGCAGGGTGAAAGCTGCAGGCATGCTAGCCCCTGATAGGGCCACTATGCCTGCCAGCTTTCAAGGAGATAGGTGCAGGGGCTTCTGGGTTCTGGGACCCTGCACCTCTAGCTGCTGACAGGCAAAACTCGCATCATGGGTGCTTGTGCAACTGTGTCTATCTTAGGCATGGGCTGGGGGAGGAACTACTGCAGGCCTGGCCGCTACACCCTGCTGTGGCCACAAGGCCTGCTAGATCTTAAGGAGATGGGTGCAGGGGGGATCTGGGGCCCTGCATCCCTAGCTCCTGACAGGCAAAACTCATGACATGGGTGCTTGTGCTAGCTAGTTACTGTTATGCAATCAATCATGATTCACTCAGGACCAGCTCAATACACAGTAGCTAGCAAGGATAATGAATTAATGAGCAAGGATTAACACCTACAAAAACATAGACTAAGGAGAGGAAAGAATCAATACAGAACGGGGAATTGCTTCTGCCCCAAGACAGAGACACAGTTGCACAAGCACCCATGTCACAAGTTTTGCCTGTCAGCAGCTAGGGGTGCAGGGCCCCAGAACCCCCCTGCACCTGTCTCCTTAACAGTTGGCAGGCTTTGTGGCTGCAGCAGGGCCTAGTAGCCAGGCCTGCAGTAGTTCCTCCACCCCCCCACCCCGGTGCCCCAAGACAGACACAGTTGCAAAAGCATCCATGACATGAGTTTTGCATGTCAGCAGCTAGAGGTGCAGGGCCCCAGAACCCAGAAGCCCCTGCACCTATCTTCTTGAAAGCTGGCAGGTCAAAATTCAAAACAGGTCAAAACAGTGTCAAAACAAAACTGGCTGTGAAATTTTGCATAGTCCTACTCTGCAGGTTACTGTTATGTGTTGAAAAGCAAAAAGAGAATAATTGTATGAGGGGAAAGTATGAATGTTAGGCTCACCCTGCTTTATATGTCCATGTTCAGTAGAACAGTCCTGGGTGAGTGGGAGAACAATATCAGGCCCCAGTGCTGGTGATTTGGTGGAAAAATCTGCCACTAACTACCTGACAAAATGATATTTTGAGCTATGGGTTCAGTTGCATGTACCTCTTGAAGGCCCATGTGTGGTGGGAGAGCAAAGAATTACAGGTCCTTCACTGCCTGGGTCCCACCCTTTTTCTGTCTTGTCCAGGTCATCCTTAAGGAAATGATTCTCAGGGCCCAAGGGGAGCCCATCCCAACAAGAAGCAAGGGGGGCAAGAGTGCCCGAAAGCCCCCCTGGCTCACCAAGGGCATCCGGGAATGCCTGATTGCCAAAAA